CTGTGGCATTGAGTCTAGCGGCTCTGTCCCAAGGTCTTCACATACACGTACCCTTTCAGTTTGCGTCTGTCTTGTCGGTAGGTGTCGATAATATTGAAAATCGTCGAAAACAAGGAGAAAACAGCAGGCATAGATGAGTGCACGCATTCATATGAAAATAAAGAAAACGGAGAATATTGCTTTTCATTCACATTTAATGAAGCTGTGTCTATGCATGTCTTGTCTTGTATCTGCAATGGATAAGGGCGAACATCTCAGTTAAGCCTGCATTTTCGCAAATAATTAAAATTGTGGTAATGAATCATGGCAAGCCACTTCGACGTGGTGTCAATGCACTGAATGCTGTAAGTGCGTTTACAAATGCTGCATCATATTCGTGAACTCTATTCAGGTGTGACATATTTGCTTTTCTCATATATCTTGCATGATTTGATGATTTTGAATATTCGTGTTCTCTTTGGCTTCCTGGCTGTATGAAGCAGCAATTTTGCCATATTTTTCCTTTGGCCCAAAATTTTAGCAACAGTGTCTTAGCCACAGCTTTCGGTCTCATTGCCTTTCCTCATGATGATAAAAAATATCAAAGAATGTGCTGTTTTGTGACATCCATCAAACATGAAAAAACAGTTATGCATGTATGCTATGTTGTTAGGATATGCAAGGAACTGCTTCATTTTTCATTCGAGTGCACTTCCACAATGATTTTAGGCAGATATAATTTTTGTAATTTAGACAGAAAATCTATAGTTGCATGCTAAAATTCTCTAAAAAACCTGAGCAGAAGAATACCATAAATTTGAAAGTTTAGCTACCTGGTACGCATTATGACACCAGCTGAAAAAAAAATATTAACAGAATAAAAGATTTTAAGCTCAACGTATCACTGATACCATGCATTGTAAATGTGCAATATATTGTTTCTCAGTTTCCTTAATGTTTCTGGTACACCACAGCTGGAAGGCATTGTGCTGATGGCAACGTAAAGTAGCAGAGAAAGTTTTACTGAGGAAAAAGTGGGATGCATTCATCCTATTAACCATAAAAAGGTTAAGAAATTGATGCTCAGCAGTGGAGCTTCCTCCACAGCAACAAAAAACCTGCATTGAACCACAGTGCATGCACATACCAGCACTTCGCTCATGCACTCTGTCATGGCAGAATTTGGTACCAATGCAGTGAACAGCTGTAGGTCACTGTTTTCAACATGTGTTGCATATAAGACTCGATCAGCAACAACGTTTGGTGAAAACTGTTTCATTGCCTTTTTTGTGTTGCCAATGCGCGATTAGACACTCTGAATTACGAGCTTTCCAGTGACATAAAAGAAATGTACATTAAAAAAATTGGTTGGCCGTAGGAAATAATCAGGCCCTCGAAATCCACAGAACCGTTAAGAAAGGGTAAGTATTCATTGGTACAAGCACATTCCTGGAGCTGAGTAGCCAGCTGCGCTACACAACTTCTCAAGTCTTTTCTTTTAATGTGCCAGGGCGGATGCTGTGTATCATACTGTTGCACAAGTTTTACTTTTATTTTGGTGTACTTAACATTTTAAAACATTAGTAAACTTTTAAAACATATACAGTTTTGCAAATCATGACTGTTGAATCGAACACAACAAAATTAAATTTGGAGTGTTAAATCACTTAATATTTCTACAGATCGAATCACACTTGTCTAAAACACCCAGCCGACCGCTCCAGTTGCTGTTTTCTGCAGAAATATGTTAATGCCGACGCCGTACGAATATCTAACATGGCATACGGCGTGCTAGGTCTTTGTGCGATAATTTAAGCATGAACAGAAGCATGTAGCTAAGGTGACATAGAAGCCATTGCTAACAAGAGCCATGTACTCCGCTGTTCTGGATAAGTGTGATTCCACCTGTACAGCTGCAGTGTTAGAATTTTCGGTGCATGAAATTCTCTGTTCACTTTACATCTGGTCCATGATATAAAAACATGGAAATAAAAAGAATATCAAATAAAACCTTCTAGGTCTGAGTGAGAATAGAAGCCAAGCTGCTTGTGTGGCAAGCAGGCGTTCTACCACAAAGCCACGTGCCTGCTCAAAAATAATTTTCATGCTTTACAAATACACGTGTCTTGTATACACGCTTCACAATACTACATGTAATATCGCAGTATTTCATGGTACAAATGTGCATTGCCACTGGCCATCAGAACGTGTGATTATCATAATGACTTCGTTGTTTAAAGCCAGCCACGAATAACAAAAGGCACAAATGCTACTGGAGTATTCTCTTAGGACCATGTACTGGGTGCATATCAAGTTTAAAAACATTTCATGCACATAGTTGCTCGTGGTTTAAAGCATACTACCCAGTACCTGTATTGCATGGTCTATCCTGTGTCCCATCTCCGCGCTCTTCGAAGTAACTATGTATACGTATCAACAAGCTTGCTTAGCCACCATTTAGAAATCCATTACGCAGACTGCAACTATATGCGAAACCCTTACTAGTACAAGCCACTTTAAACATTGATTACGTAGCAATAATCTGCAGTATAAACTTTTCGAGTAATGTTACCCTGCAAAAAGGTGGTTAGAGTATGCACTAGGGATAGGATATCACTGTTGTGTTCTACTCAAACCTTGAGGGTCCCTTAATTTTTTTCACCAAACAATTGTAAGATTCATAGATAGTAATGTTCCACAAGCATGGTATTGTAAGTAATCACCCTTTAGGCCTATACTGGAAGAGTGGAGGGGGTGCTGTTAGGAGTGAATTTACAAGCTGTTAGGAGTGTATGGAAAAATTTGACAGATTGTTGTGCAAGTATGCAAGCATTAGGGCATGTCAGTTCAGATTAAATACCTGAAAAAGATCACAGGCAGGGGTCCTGATAGATGTGGACTCTTGAAAGCATTTCATGCTAAGAAAGAAGTGATGTGTCATTGACACATCTGTTGAAACTTGAAATGTCAGGAAAGTATTTCAAGCGTAGGTATGTGACGTTTCTTGACAGTACATGACTGTGACATTGCACACTTCCATACTGCACATGTGTCTGTTTCCTAGCATACTTGCTAGCAAAGCCACAACAGGATGTTTATCAATTTAATTTTTTTCAAATTTAGTGATTTTTCCAGGTTTTTCACATAAATTAAAAGCAAACTCCATGACCATAATGTCTGCTTGGAAAAACGTGCGGAGGAAAGAACACTTTAGCGGTAAAAAAATAAAATATGAGGCACTCATATAAAACAAATGAACACATTTTGCACACACACTCATAATGTTGTGAGTGTATGTGGTAAATATGAAAAAAATGTGTGTATCTGGTCAAAACAAAACTTGTGACCCAGGCACAACGGAAGTTGGCTGTTCGGTTTTTTGAACAACCAGAACACAACCACACAAATAAAATAACTGCAGCTGCAAGTTTGAAGGAGCCTGCGATAGTCCAACAGTGCAGCCAATGCTGCTAGGAAACGTAAAGGTGGCGCTATCTCGCGGCATTCATATAAAACAAGGATGCGGCAGCCCGGCCAGTTGGCTTACTGGAGCACATTCTAGTTCATTATAATGGCTATAGCCTGCAGGCAATTTAGAATTGGATTAGATTACCTTGACCTAGACTGCTGTATTTACTAATGATTTGCATCCCCGTCTCATTTGTACATGTCTAAAATATACTTTTCAGCAAAAAAAAGCACTTACACATTTTATGCAACCTTGTCTTGACAACGACTAACAACAATGTCGCAACAACGAAACCGTACAGCAAAATTTACTTTATCCTTTCTTTCACTCTCTTTTTTTTTTACACAATGCACACATGCTTGTTGGTGTTTTATTTCTCTGGGTTCTGACACGTGGAGCACAATGAAAGTACTCAGACACCTGCAATAAAAGCTGCGGTAGCGTTTTAAGCGCTGATGTTTGAATATGGGGTGGAAAAACGGAATCTGTCAGACCGCAACAGCTTCCCCGATTTCATAGGTAAATAAAAGATGCAGAATCGTGAGTTAGGCAAATTGGTGAGTGTTCACCGTAGAATATTTTACAAAGGAACGAGTTAGAAGCAGTCAGAGAGAGTCAGAGCGCTGATTTCACAACTGAAATTTATTTGGAAAAGGAAAGAACAAATATAGAAAATATTGACTCATCAAAACTGTGCACATGTACACATCTGTTACAACACAGAATGATTCATGTTTTCTCTAAGACCTTATGTTCTTCATCTAGACGAGTGTTACATGAAATACTTATGCACTTGTTGTTAGATCTAATGAAAAATGCTTTGGCTACTTCACACATGCGCTAATCAACATGTTAATATTTGATATTTGCTTTCTACAAGTGGGGCACACACAGGGCTGGGTAGTATCGCAATAGCATTTAAGAGATACTTTTGAGTGTCTGTATTGCTGTATCGAGGCACTTTTCAAAAATGTGTTTGTATCTCAGTAGTGAAATACTTTTACGGTGTATCGCATGTATCGCGATACTATCCAGGACACGGGTATCCCGTTACTTTTTTTTTTCGTAAATGAACTGAGACGTGTTGACAATGGGGAAAAAAATTTCTGCTGTGACCTTGGCAGTCCACGGCAAGATATGCACCCACCATTTCTACATTTCTGCTGAGGGCGAAACTGACTCCTACCTTCTTGAAAGCGAGCTAGTTGCTTTGCTACCCGCATCCCATTGTGCTCCTTCAGGCAGAACTGGAATGTGTTTGAATGATGGCCTGCTTCAGCATGACAACTATGTTATACTGCTATATTGAATTCCAGCGCAGATATTTTCATTGTGAGGAGTATTGTATACTGCACAATGGGCGCCATTTTTAAATGTATTTCCTCATGCCAATTGAACGAGTAGTGTTTGTTTCTCTCGTTTTTTTCCACCTTTCTTTTGCAGTGCCCATTTGAAAAACTGGAGCTTATTGGAGAAGCCACAAACCACCCAAAGAATTTGGTGCCATGTGCCATCTACGATACTTCTTTCTGCAGAGCACTTCTGAAAAACACCAGCATGGCCAAACAGCGATTCGAAAGAGGTCTTTTTGGGTTTCCTTTCGCATTCCTTGTTTTGTCCATTTTTAATTCTTTCTGCCTTTTCTAAGATATTTCTAGAAAACACAAAACCTTCAACTGGAGTTCGTTTGTTTATGGTTCCAGCACTTCGCTTGAACTATGCTCCTTCTAGCATAACTAATACTGTTGCTGTTGAGTTCCAGATTTCAGTGTACAATGCGTGTGACTGATGCTCTCATATGGCATAGTTTTTTATTGCAACTGATATCTGTAAATATGTGGTTATTAACAATTATGTGCAGTGTAAGCATCCTTTGTAATGCCTTAATGACACTCGGAGAATGGCAAAAATATAATAAATCAATTTCATTTGCAAGTTTCAATGTGCTGCACATTTTAAATATTAGGCTGCACATAACAAATGTTGTATGTAGTATAACTATCCCCGACATAGACAAAAATATTTTAGTACATGTATTCTGAAATACTTTTTTGTCTTTTTGTAAACGTATCTCTAAAATATTCTGTCACATGAATTAAAAATTTATCTCAGTATCTGTATTTTATGCTTCCAAACCACGCATTACGATATCTGCATTCCAGAATACTTTTTCGGGCATCTCTGCCCAGCCCTGAGCACACATCCACATGGCCTACAACGAGCTGCCACATTAGACGTGATTTTAGCATCTGATAGCATTAGCCCATGCTCTTTTAAGCACATGTTTATGTAATGCCCCATTTCACCTAAATATTCGCAGCTGCAAGACAGTGGAATCCCATAAACCACGCCAGTAGTGCAAGGAGCATATCTGTGGACATGACTGGAGACACATTTGTTCCCTTTCCCTGGCTGCTGACACAATGCTCTATCCACCAAAGTACACACATTATGCCCTTTATTACATGCTGAGAATGACATGTTTATGCAATAACGAGCACCAACATTTTTCAAACCATGTGCTATCCTGTGTATGTATGGGATAACTGCCTGCCTCTTTTTCTTGCTAATTGCTAGTGCACTAGAATCACAATGATAAAACTTCTCGATCTTTGAAATAAGTTTTTCCGACAAGGAGCAAATCACGTCACTCGGAAAGCCAGAATTTGCAAGGCGAGCAACTTGTGCATCAAATGCATGCGCCATAAGGTGCTCGCGTAACTTCTGAAGAGCGGCACCCAGCACAGTTGACGCAATGGCTCCCTGTATGGTTTTGAGTGGCCAGAATTAAAATTCAGAATTGGCTTTATGAATCTAGGTTGGTATTGCTATATATGTGATCTTTGACGAAAGCCTGTCTTAAATCGAGAAACTGTAGCTCATCAATTTTTTGAAACTCCAAAGTGAAACGCTGACATTTGTTTTCCTTAACATCTTTCTTTATATTAGCAACCAGTAAAGAGCAATTGTTAATGTCCAGTAGAAATAAGAAGTCATGGACATATCAAACAGCGTGTGATGATAACCAATTCAAATGCTTTTGCAGCTGCCCGTCTACATACCCAAGAAAAATATAACTAATTACAGGTATAATCATGATTCAATGCAGATACCAGATTTTTGGACAAAATTATTTCCCTTCCAAGACACAACGGTAGAATTTAGGTGGCCTGCATGAGCTCTAAAAACGACGCAATAGAGATGCCACACTGGCACTGAAACAACAACTCATCGTTATCTTCTCTCATGCACTGCTTTATACACTTCAAATCTTCACATTGGGGCAAACAATAATATAAATCTTTTACGGCTATACCGAATGCATTACGACACAAAGAAGGTTGTTCACTTAGTGATAAGATAGTAGATTCTGAGTTAGAAATTCTCAGCGGATCACAAGTCTTCAAACGCTCCAAATTTCTTTGAATATACTCTGAAACATTTATTTACCAAGTGTCTTTTTCTGAAACAACAGCTCTTAGTGCCAACATGAATCTTCACTGAAATAAAAACTGATAGTTTTTGCCTTTTTGCTTTTTTCACACTTGCCGCTACGCGTTCCTGATTAAGCGTTAGTAACAGGGCATAAACTTATTCGTTCAGTCCCCCGCTTTTTGCATCAACACTTCTTTTTTATTAATATATACCCTAAAGGCCCATTCAGGCATTACACAGGGGTTTTAGTTATACAATAAATTTGCAAATCAGAACATTGCCATTATAAAATTAAAGTGGTAAACAAAGTAAAATACAGTTCTATAGACAATGGTGAAAAAGGAAAAAAAAAATGTGGCAGGAATGAAAACTCAATAAGAGAGACACAGCTATAGTGCAAAAAATATATATATATAGAAAATTCCCATGAAAAAAATTGCCCCCTATCTGCATATTAGACTAAAAATGTCGTCGAAAGACTATTGTGTTTCACTTGAAAAGAGTGAATAGACAGAAATATTTATTTGATGTTTTGCACGAGAAAACTGGTGAATGGAATCCTGGAGGTGTTGCGTGACACATGAGCGCCATCTGGCAGTAATTTCAGAAAACGAAAGGATGGCCTTTGTTATAGCGAACACGCAGCATGCGTGCTATCTTGGAGGCCATATTTTGCAGATTTCAAGATAGGTAGCAGCACAGTATCGTCTTAGCAAAGCGTAGGAGACTCGCCTTTTCGTGCGAAGCGTCGCATTGTCAGCTGCAGTGCTTAGAATTACTTCTTTATACCTTTTCTAGTATAAATAAACACAGTGCACAATATCGAAGTGTTGATATTGTGCCTCAAATATGCTCAATATTTGCTTTTTATTGACAATCGTACAAGTATGAACGTAGAAACTTGAACAATACTGGTGGATGCTGTGGATGTGGTCGTACTTGAGCCTTTTTGCTGACAGACAGACCAAAATTTTTGCGTTGGAGTATCCCAAGCAAGACTATCATCTTTAAGGAGAAAATATATTTACAATGAAAGAAGAGTAAAAATAAGCACATACATGCACTTACAAACTCACACAGATAGGTAAGTCATATGTCCAAGAAAATATTGAATTGGTTTACAAAGGCGGCATGATCAATGAATCAAGCGATGTCGCCCGGCAGTGTGTTCCAGTGATGTGTGCTTCGAAGTAATGGTGAGTGTTGATACATAATTGTGCCTGCCAAAAAAAGGGTTTATTTTGAATTGGTGATCAATATGTTTCAAAATATTTATGAGGTGTGTTTGTACAAGCTTCATGAAGGCACATTTACTATGATAAAATGTATGAAAATGCAACAACAGTGACGACAGTCTGGGTTTTTCAAGAAGGGGTAATGAAAGTGAGTGTGTAATATCTGTAGTGCTGCAGTTGCGAGTACTACTTGGTGATAAATCCTGCTGCTTCATTTTGTATTGATTCTAGTTAATCGATGAGATATGGTTGATGTGGGTTCTAGATGATGGATGCATATTCTATCTTTGAACGAACAAGTGTAGTTTATGTTAGCATTTTAGAGGTATAGTTCACCAAGTAAAGGTTTCTTTTAATAAATCCAAGTGCTTTTGACGCCTCACTAGTTACGATATCGATGCGCTTATTCTAAGGCAGGTCATATGATAAATGATTTTCAAGATATTTAAACAGGGATACTTTTTCAATGGGGAGAGCTTGAATTTCATATTGACTCATTTCTGTTTTATGTGCTCTTGTAAACGTCACGGCCTTCGTTTTGGAAGTGTTAATTTGCCATGGTGACACCAAAATGCGAGTTTATTAGGGTCCAACTCTGATGACTTGTTAGCTTGGGTGCTGTCAATTTTTCTATAAATGATGTAGTTGTATGTAAATAATTTGATAGTAGATGACAAACCATGTCCAATGTCGTTGATGTAAATGAGAAACAAAACTGGTCCCATGATTGATCCCTGGGGAACACCAGACTTTGCATGTGAAAGTGAAGATGCATGTCCATTCACATAAATTGATTGGCTGCAGTTGCTCAGAAAATGATTTATCAGAAAATGATCGTTCGAATCGAACAGCTCTTCAAGAAGCATGTGCCTATTGACCGTGCTTAGCGCGTTCCAGTGGTCGTATACCCCCTGGCGATCTCTCAGGGGAATTCACGACACAGCTAGGCGCGACTTTGGAATACGTCCTCAGTGGTAAAGTCCAGTTTAACGAGTTGTACAGGCTGCGACAGATGCCGGCAGGGTGCGTTGCATGCTCGTGCAGGCGGTGGCTGGTTGGCGTACGCACTGCAGCTCCAGAAACATGCCCACACTCGTAATCGAGCACACGCTGACGATATGCAGTGCGTTGAGCGCGGCCAACGAAGAGCGGATTACGTCGATGAGGTCTCTGAGCAGTTGTACACCTGGACGAGCCCCCGCGGTGTAACCAGAAAACCTTCCTGAGCGAGTGCTTGCGTTTCATGTTGGACGGGATGAAAATCATTTGTCCGTTCCGACACATGAGCACCATCAGCTTCAAACAGACTGCCCAATCGGAGCTCCAAGATGAAGAAAGACGGGCCCGAACTCGTGCCACATGTAGTGCTGCCCGAAAACGAAGCAGCCGTTGATCGCGCTGGACGTGAACGACGTGTCATGGTGCACCTGACGATGACCGAGGATGGACAGTAGTGCTGCAGATTCGACAAGAGGTAGTAGACGAACAGGCACATACTGCAACGGCTGCCCACACGGTAGGCGGTATACTCGCGCAGGTGGCGGCTTGATGGTCGAACATCTGAGACGTTGTTGGGTCGTCGCTTGTCACCGCTGGAGGTGATCTGCATCGCCGATTGCACGCTGCATCGCGCCTCGCTCGGCTTACGGGGGCCTTCAGGGTGTCGGTGCCTGTAGAATCCAGCGAAACGGCGGAGTGAGATCAGGGCGTCTGACTGCTGCTGTGTTGTTGTTGTTGTTGTTGTTCTCCTATTGTAAGTGGCGCATATCCACTGTGGGGGATTGGCCAAGAATCGAGTGGTTTCAAAATTTTCTGTTCAGATTTTGAATGATGGAGGTTTAACAGAAAGATTACCGATAGCCTAGGTAAGTGTGTTGCTTAATGTAATGTATGCAAATATTTACATAAACGAATTTATTCTTAGAATAGAGCAATAATATGATTTTATACGTATATAATTATGTGGACCTGTTAGGATAATGAAACTGGTTAATTAGTCAACCTATTAGTTTCATCAATATAGTCCCGGACGGCCGCGCATACTGTCGCATTAGAGAAACCAGAAATGGAAGCTCCAAAAGACAAAATGACAGGCAGAGATAAGTCCATACCAATACCACGTAAAGGTATTTCTAATAGGGTTTTTCATAATGTGTTCAACCGCTTGCAGGTCAAAAAGAAATGGTCTATTGTTTCCAGTTCATCACAGAATGCACACAGTGGCGCAGGTGCCTGAGCAGACCTGTGTTTATAGAAAATTTAGATTTGGTATCCGGCAACGCAGCCTTGTGATAGCAACTTCTTGTTTTCGAGTGCGGCAAAAGTCTCTTCGCCAGGGATATAATAAATGGCGATATTCTGTAAAGTTTGTTAGTGCTGAACCTTTAAAGACTTGCGTAAGCGTACGTCTGCGGAATCGAGCAGCAGTCACATAAGCGGATGATGGACAGAGTGGTAGAATTGGTTCGCTGATTAACGACTTAGCTAAGGAATCGGCTATTTCATTTAGAAACAAACCTTTATGTCCAGGCACCCAAACTAATCGTACTTTTCTCAAATGCGCAGGTACTAGAGCACGGAACGCCTTTGTTACTTGATTATCAGCACCAACAGAAAGTGCCGCACAGAGAGATAGGGAATCTGTTATTATGACAGCTGATGTGATTGCTGTATCTAACTTGCGTAAGGCGAGCACCACTGCCAGAAACTCAGCCACTAAAACGGGTATGAAATCGGGTATTCAAAGGGAATAAATCCAATTTAAAATCGGGCTGAAAATACCAACCCCTGACTTTTCGTCGTATTGCGATGCGTCTGTAGCAATAATAACGTTCTTTGTAATGCGGCGCAGGTGATCTTGTAGTAAACCATCCAAAATATTATGGGGAAGTAATTTGGCATTATTAGGAAAAATGTCTGCTGTGATACGTGTCAGAAACAGGGCGCGTGCAAGGGCCCTAGATGCCTTCTCGTGCAAAGAGCAGTGTCTTCTTTTTCTTCTTTCTTTAAAAACACTCTTTAGTTCTGTGAAAATTTCCTGTATGAAAATATTGGCAATCGAAGCGAATATATCAAAAGAGAGGCACTTGATGAAGATCGCTCCATTATCTTAAGCTAGATCAATAAATAGGCCACGCAGTTCCTTTTTTTTTTTACAGTGTAGCTGTTAAGCATTTTGTGACGCAGGGTGGGTAAACCACCACCCTGTCATCATCTTCATAAACCGGCAAGCTGCCTCTTGTCCTCTTCGTCTTCTACTTTGCTCCCAGATGACGTGCACCCATTTCACCGGAACCGGAGGCGATAACGTTGATGGGCAAGAGAACTAGTAGGGAGACAGACAGAAAAAAAAGAGAAGGAGAAAGATAGATAGAGAAACTTAGGGTAGAAAGACATATACAAATAGAAAAGCACAAACAAAAATGCATGAAAAGAAACAGACAATAAAAAAGAGAAAGAAAAAGTAATGCAAGAACAGCCATCTGTAGAGTAGTATAGCGAAAGGTTGAAAAGTCGGGGTATGGAGGAGGGAAAGGAGGAAGGAAATGCCACAACATCCGCTGCTTCCTCAGTGTTGCAACCATTATGCGGAGCTACCCACAATTTTTTTCCTGGGCAACGTATTTGCCTCTGTGTTGAGCAATATGTGTTCTGAAATTTTTAATAGAGCTCAGAACTGGCAAGAACATGTCCTGACTTGCTAGTGAAAATGAAATGATCATTATTTACGTTTATGAAATATTCAATGTGAAGAAAATCAAGCCATGAAGAGTATAGAAAATTTTATTCGTAATAAGTAGGATATAAGTGTGAAGGAAGTGAAGTGCATGAAAAGGTAATTTGCCGCAGGAAAGAACCGCGCCTGCAACATTCGAATAATGCGTCCGAAGGTTTACCATTGACTGAGCTACGGCGGTGAGGGTCGTCTTCTAACATATTTTATTGGGTATATCTGTGCATTTACACGTGGGAGTATGTGTTAGCGCTTTATAGAGTGATTACTACTGTTTAATCACTTGCGCTAGACATTACGCATTTTACAAAGAATAAAAGAAGCTTACACTAACAATAATGCGATCCTATTTTTGAGTCAACAAGCGCAACATTGCATGTGAGCCGGGAGATTGTTCGTTGCGCTCGTTCCCTCGGTTAGGGCGAGGAATAGGAGAGACGGCGCTCGACCCACGAACGAGTGTGGAAGAGCTTTCACTCTGGCATATACTTTAGTGTCCCTTTAAGGAGACCCCTTTCACTACATGACATTCATGTAGAGTTTTTGTACAGCACTTCCAACAAATGCCTTGGCCATGTGATAGAAGATATGCTTCCCACGCAGCAAGTCTGGGTTCCATCCCAATTCCGACTCAAAAATTTTATTATTTTATTTGCATTTTCTCTAAATTATGCGCATATTTCAGACGTGACAATATGGTTTTTTTTCGCTCACAACCAATGACGCAGGTGATGATGTGACAATTTCGGGAAACTATATCTTTAGTGCTATCCCGTTAAATGATATTGTTACGGAAGAGAATACATGCCGCAAAGACGAGGCTGTGAATGAGATACAATTCAAACCAGCAGTAGCAGCGGGACCGATGATGATGATAATGGTGATGAACCTTCAGCTTTGCTGGCACTCGCCCACAAAGGGGGATCGGCCAAGAACCGGGCGGCAGGATCATCAAGTGTGCTAAGTCAGGCATTCAGGTAGTCTCGTAGCCGTAAATAATAACAATAGGCTAACAGGGTAATCTCTTTGTTGCCCTTATGTACTCGCACACAGCAGAGAAAACCTCCCTGTGGCTATAACCTAATGTAATCTCTCCGAAGGATAAAGTTAGTTCCACGTTTATTTTGAAACCTAGCTTACCAATTGGTTCGACCAGGTATCTTTTCCTTTGATAAGCATAACGTTGACAGGATAAAAAGAAATGATCTATTGATTCCGATTTCTTGCAAAAGAGACACAACGGAGATGCTGTTAGTCCAGCTTTATGTAGGTAGTAATTCAGATGCGGAATTCTGCATCGTAATCTGGTGATTGTAATTTCTAACTGCCGAAATACACACCACTGTTTGTTCCAGCAATATCTTAGATGTACGAAGTCAAAGACTTTATCAAATGATAATTTTTCTATTTCTTTGTGCAAACAAGCCTTTCTATATCTGAGTGCTGTTACGTAGGCGAAATCAGGTAAAATAGGTAAGAGTGGTCCGCTTAAAGATGCTTTGGCTAACGAGTCTGCCATCTCATTTGGATAAATCCCGCAGTGGCCGGGTATCCATAGCAAGTGAATTTTTTTCAGGTTTTCTGGTAATAAACTTCTAATCATACTCAATAATGTCAAATTTTTTGCTGTAGATAGTGCAGTGCATACTGAGAGAGAATCGGTAAGTATGACCGCTTCTCATTCGCTTGCAGGAAGTTTACGAAGCGCTAGAATTATAGCAAATAATTCAGCGATGAATATAGGCGTGTAATCTCGTAATCAAACTGAGAAAGACCAGTCGAGAGAAGTACAGAAGATGCCTATTCCAGCCTTTTGGTTCAATACGGATGGTGGTGGTTGTGGTTGTGGTGGTGGTGGTGGTGGTGGTGTTGCAGCAGGCGGGGTTAGCCTGGCCTGTATGGGCGGTAATTGTTCCGCCTGAGCATCTCCTGAATTTGGAAAATGTCACCACGTGTCAGACAGCCCAGTGTCTCGCAGGAAGACTAACAAAATTCGTTGCACGTTCATCCTAGTTGCCGCGGGTCCTTCAGGAAAGATGACGTCATCAACTATCCGGTGCCTATGACAGCCTTTTCGCAAGGTGCGGATCATCGCTGCCCTTTGCACATCAAACTGTGGGCAAAGCCAAATGAAATGTTCAATATCCCCGATGTCACCACAGAAGGCACAGAACGGGGAAGCGTATCTCCCAGTCTTGAATGACCAGGCCGGGGTGTATGCGGAGCCTGTTCTTATGCGGTACAACAGCGTCGCTTCTTCACGAGAAAGTCCATGAATTACACATGCTTGGTGTGGAAACTTGTAGATTGCCTTGAAATGATTGCGTATCACATCTTTGTTGTTCTGGTAAGTCTTGGGAATTCTTACTTTTGGAAACGATGTACGTGCTTCGCATGCAAGGGCATCAGCCTTTTCATTGCCCTCAATGCCAACGTGGGATGAGATCCACTGGAACTTTATATTAAAACTCTTGCCATTTGGGTGTTTGATTAGTGCCAGAGATTGCCTGGTGAACTGTTCTTGAGGGAGGCCACGATGCAGTCTTTGTAGCGCCGATTTGGAGTCCGTAAGCACTACAACATCTCGTGCAGAAAAAGATCGCAATTTTCGCAAAGCCGCCGTGATTGCAGCGCTTTATACCGTTGTGGACAAAACCACGCGATCAAGGCAGCCCGACCATGACACGCCAAGGCAGGGTATGCAGAAAGCCGCTGCGCAGCTATCCGTTTGTGTGCACACTGATCCGTCGGTGTACACTTGTAGGTGGCTGCGGTACATATGTGCTCAAGTGGTCCAGCGCAAGAAATTTTGCTTCCGCGGCTGGAATGGTGCGCTTCGCTGGTAGATCAATTGGGTACGCTGAAGTTACACGCAACATCCACAAAAAAAAAAAACCATGGCGGGTCCATAGGGCGCCGTTTAGGCAGTTTCAAGCCTAAATATCGAAATGTGTATAGTGCCGCGTTGAAATGTGAGCCAGTTCTTGCTCTTAGCCGCCGGAGAAGCGCCGTGCCTGCGAAGGACTCGCCCAGTCTTGACAGCTGCGTCAATAAGGCCTGAGACGCCAAAAGGCGGAGCGGAAGAGACTCGGCTTCATTGGTGACCTTCGTGTTTGAAGCCGCCTGAGGGGCTCCCATCGCCAAGCGAAGGCCCTTTCTGTGCACTGCCTCTAGGCGTTCGAATTGGCTTGGTGATGGTGATATCAGGGGCAGCTGATAAAGAATGCGACTCGTTATAAGCGCATCATTCAATTTAAGCTTGGACGTAGGATTGTTGCCCCAACGGACACCTGCCATGCGACGAAGAGCCTTGATCCTTTGCACTGATGCAGTGACTATACCATCAACCGCACGTCGCCATAATAGCTTATTGTCGATGGTAATGCCCAGGAAACGGACACTTGTTGCACAACGAATTGAGTGGCCTCGAATATTCAGCGACAGACGTGTTGACTTCCGTCGCGCTCCCGGGAAAAGCATGAAGGCCGATTTTTCCGCTGATAAAGATAGGCCAAGTGTCAACAAGAGAAGCTCAATTATTGAATTAGCGCTCTGTGCTATCCGGGCCAAACTTTTGTGATGGTACCCTGAGATCCAAATGCAGATGTCATCGGCGTAGATGGATATTTTAACTGCTTTCAGAGCTAAGTGCAGAGTGTCGGGAAGGCTGGCCATGGCAGCGTTAAAAAGCAAGGGAGATAGAACACTTCCTTGTGGGACGCCGAGGAAAACGCGTCTCTCTTCGCTCGTTACATTTCCAAGCTTGACACGGACACATCGGTCTCTGAGAAATTCATGTACAAACCGAAGAGCATTTCCCGACACACCCATGACGATGCCTGCCTGAAGCACACAATCATATGCCTTGGCAACGTCCATGAAGACAGCGAGTGTCGAGAGTCCGCTGACGTGGTGGTGCTCGATGTGGCTTAATAGGTCCAAAACACTGTCCTGGGCACTCAGTCGTGGGCGAAATCTGGTCATACACGATGGTCATCGTCTTCTTTGTTCAAGGTACCAAGTTAATCTTGTACATATTAATATTTCCATCAACTTGGATAGGCATGATGTAAGAGATACCGGTCGATATGACGCGAGGCTCGTAGGATCCTTTCCGGACTTTAGGACTGGCACCACCCATGCTGTCTTTCAAACAAATGGGATCTCTCCCATGCTCCAGACACGATTAAATATGTCCAAAAGGGCCCTTTTTCGCTCATATGGTAGATTTGTCAGCATTTGATTGCTGATCAAATCGGGACCCACGGCACAGCGTCTTCTTAATTTGCTAAGTGCCATATCCAGCTCTCGAAATGTGAATGGCGTATCCATCGTGTGAAAAAACTGGGGTGACAGAGGAATCGCCGCTCCTGCTGATCTACCAGATGTGTACACGTCTGCGAAATCCTCTGCAAGGGTTTGCAAATCTATTCCTTGTTTCAAAGCGAGTGCTTCGAACGGATGCATCGGTCGCAATAATGTTGTTTATGGACAGATGAGTCAAGTAATCTTTTAACCGAATATTTGAATATTGAAGGGGCAGTTGTTTCGCATTAGAGGGGAAAATATCATCAAATTTAATTTCAAGTTTTGAATTAGGTGTCTTCGTTATGCAAATCTGACATTGAGAGGCTCTAGCAACGCTTGGACGAACCTAATCTAAGGGGAGTGTAGTCTAGACCATTGTGTTCCAAAGAATGCGGTTGGTTCTTGAATAAAAACGTATGAAGTTTGTCGCAGAGGCGAATTGTATATTTTTAAGAACGTTTGAACTGTAAGTATTCTAAACCGAGTTAACAAAGGCGGAAGGCGCGCTTTCACATGCAAAACATTATTTGCCACGAATTTTGGGAGTCCAAGACACAAGCGCAAAGCTTCTCTTTCTAATAATATTAATTGTCTCATCTTGGAAGCCGCGCGGCCTGAAAATAATACACACCCGAATTCCATAATATGCCGCACATACATCTTGTAAATCATTATCAATGAACTCCTACGCAATCCTATTTTTCTGTTTCTCAATTTGCGTAACCACCCCAAGGCACGTGACGCTTTACAGCCAACCTCGTCTATATGGCTTTTCCAATTTAGCATCCTATTATATACGATGCTTAAGTATTTCAGAAAATCGACCTGGGGAATGAGCTCGGTACGATACATCAGGGAAATGTTGACACGATCCTTAAAAGAGAATGGCAGAAGCGCACTTTTTTTGACGTTCAATGACATATGGATATTGTCAAGCCATCCTTCTAGCATGTTCATGTAATTCTGTAATGCCTGATACAATGAGTGCAGATCACTGTTTGTTGCGAAGAAAGCAATATCATCTGTATATACGTAAACTTGGATATCCTGATGAGTTGGAATGGAACTTAGTAATATGTTGAATAGCACCGGGGATAATACTGAGCCCTGAGGTACACCTCGTGTCTGCTTATATTTTTTAGAAGAGCATCCATCCAAGAAGCAATAAAATTCTCTGTCTTTCACAAACTCTGTAATCCATGCTGTTATATATTTTGGAAAGCGATAGTCTTGAATCTGCTGGATTAGGATAGGATATTCCTCTTTGTCGTACGTTTTTAGCTAAGTCTAGAGTGACTAGTGCACAGTATTCGCGGCGATGCCGAGCCAGCTGTATGCGACTTTCCAAATCCACATGTGCACACCAAATGGAGTATCCCGATCTAAAGCCAATTTTTCTGGGGTTTAGTATTGTATGTTCATTGATGTAGTTTATTATACGGGCATTTAAGACTCTCTCTACAAGCTTGACCAGGTTAGATGTCAATGAAATAGAGCCTTATGTTATAAAGAGTAAACTCCATTCCCTGTTTCTTAAGTATCGGAATTATTTTGGAAAGCTTACAATCGGCCGGAATCCACGAATTTTTCAGTGAATAATTAACTATATTACGGATTTCATGTGGTGATATTTCGTATAGCACTTTAATCATTGTAGAGGTCACCCCATCAGGTCCGGGAGCAGCGGGCGGTAAGCTCTTCACCACATCCGCCAGTTCACCTAAAGATACCTCCTGGAAATCACAATCCACCCTTAATTTCACCATGGACTTTGGCATAATTGTCGTAAACCTGGTTTGCAAGCCTTTAGCAATATTTTCCAAGAATTCAGAGAGTTCGCGAGGAGACATAATGGTGGATCGACTGCTTTCTGTCTGTGGAATCATTTTTCTCGCACGTAAAAACCTGAAAAGCATTTTCTTATTTTTAGACTTAGACAGATAATTAAATTTATTCATATCATAGCCTTCTCTTGCTTTGCGCACTAGATGCTTAAAATCGGCGGCCATGAATTTATAATCACTCCAATTTTCGGGGCATTGGTTAATTATGAGCTTTTTCCAAGCTGCTTTTCGCTTTCTATACCCCCTGACACATTCTAGATTCCACCACGGGCTAAAACATCCCGCTGTGTTTGAGTTTACAGTAAAAGTTGAATTTTTTAGTGATCGTTTCAACACCGCACATAGACTCATAGCCCTAAGGTCTTCCTGCATTTCCTCGCGAAAAGTTAATGTAGATTTTAAGTCTTTTTGTAATTTAGCATAATTTACGAATGAGCCAACTTTCCCTGCCAAACTAAACCTCGGGAACTTAATTTCAAACGTAATGGGAAGGTGGTCGCTGTTTGTAGCCCAATATAATATATTCCACGAGGATATGCTTAAAGTGGAGCTGGAAAATGTTAAATCAATAGTCGATTTAGAGTTACCTCTTACAAATGTAGCAACCTGTGAGTTCAAGCAGGAAAAGTTATTATCAAGCGTCCATTCCCGCAAACGTCTTCCACATACATCAGATTTGAAGCCCCAAGACACATGGTGTGAATTGAAATCACCACACAGTATTATTTCTTTTCTGCATGAAGCTACCATAATATCGAGGCATCTCGTGTCTTGAACTCCTGCAGGAAAGTATACATTTGCAAAAGAGAAAGGCGAGCAGTCTGGTAGTGTTATGTCTAACACCAGAATTTCGTAATTCGTATCCATACACTGATACGATATCTTGGCTCTGTGACTAAATTTAGTTGATAACAAGAAAGCCAGACCGCCACCTCTACTCGGCCGATCTAGCCGTATTAATCGATAATTTTTCATGTAAAATTTTTTACCGTTACCAAGCCAGGTTTCCTGAATGGCAGTTATGTCGGGAGAAATTTGCGAATATATTGTAAATCTGTAGTTGCCGACCAAATAGACCGGCAGTTCCACTGCAGAATTTTTAGGGAACCTATTTTGATGCTATACCGGCAGAAGAAACTGCCTGATCCAGAATATCTTTTTTCAAGAAATCATTTTTTGAAAGGTTCACAAAGAAGTCTTTCTTTGACAAGTATTTCTTGGATTTTGGGTTCTGAGAAGACTTTTTAGAAGGGGGAGATCTGTTACGTTTCAAAGTTCTTAGAGATTCTGTGTCCATATCTGTAAAGTCTCCTGAATCATCTGTCACAGGTTCTGACTCAGCCTGAACTCTATTTTTTGAAGGTCCTGCTTTCGGAGAGATAGATCTATGATTGACTGTCTGATTTTCCTCCTCTGTATCCCTTGAAATCAACAGAGCGTCCGAATCCCGATTTTGCACAGAAACTGTACCAATGATTTGTGTCAGCTGTTGTGTTAACATATCAGCCAAGGCTTCAAAAAGAGTAACTGCCAGACGCTACATTGCCTTTTCAGTGGACTTTTCAATAGCCTCAGTTATTGACATTGCGAGCTATGCATCCATTGCCGCTGTGTGCCGGGATGTTACGCCTGCGTAACCTTTCGATCTTTCATGCGGGGTGTTCAAAACATATGAACGCCTTCGCCATCGCTTACTGGCGCGGCATGTACAATTTTGTACGCAAATTTGTACAGTGCTGTCCTGACTGCCAGCGACGCAAATCAACACCGCTACGTGCGACTGGCGAATTGCAGCCACTTCCGTGCCCTGCCAAGCCATTTGATCGCGTTGGCGTTGACCTCTACGGCCCCCTTCTATTGACACCAGGTGGAAATCGGTGGATTATAGTGACAGTCGACCATCTAACACGCTACGCCGAAACAGCCGGTTTACCGAGCGCTACCGCTCAGGATGTCGCCTCTT